GCTTGGTATGATAGGCTTACTCTGTTTCTCCTTCAACATGGTTTTGTTCAAGGCTCTGTTGATAAAAATCTTTTTATTAAACACAAATCTGATGATATGCTCATTGTTCAAATCTACGTGGATGATATTGTCTTTGGTGCTACCTATAAAGATATGTGTTCTGAGTTCTGTAACTCTATGAAAGAGGATTTTGAGATGAGTATGATGGGTCCTCGGACTCCAAATCAAACAAACAAATTCTGGTACTTTCATAAGTCAGACTAAATACATAGCTTCCATGTTAAGCAAATTTGATATGATGGGTCTTAATTCCAGTCCTACTCCTATGGCTGTGAATTTGAAACTTGACAAAGATGAAACTGGTACACCAGTTGATGAATCAAAATACAGAGGAATGATTGGTTCTTTGCTTTATCTTACTGCCAGTCGCCCTGATATTCAACATAGTGTCTGTTTATGTGCTCGTTTTCAATCAGCCCCCAAAGAGAGTCACATGTCTGCAGTCAAACGCATATTTAGATACCTTAAAGGTACCATGGACATTGGACTATAGCATCCTAAACATGATCTGTTTGATCTTGTTGGGTACAATGACTCTGACTTTGCTGGGAGTTTGACTGATAGGAGAAGTACCTATGGTAGTTGCCAATTTGTAGGAACTTCTCTAGTTTCCTGGTCTTGTAAAAAACAAGGGGCAGTTGCCCTCTCCACAGCTGAAGCAGAGTACATTGCTGCAGGAAGCACTTGTACTCAACTTCTGTGGTTAAAAAGCCAACTACAGGACTATGGAATCACTATGACTAGTATTCCCTTACTGTGTGACAACACTAGTGCTATCTGCATGTCTAAAAATCCTATGCAACACTCACGTACTAAACATATCGAAATTAAATACCATTTTATACGCGATCTTGTTAGTACTGGAATCATAAATCTCCAATACATTAATACTGAATTTCAACTGGCAGATCTCTTTACCAAACCTTTATCCACTGATCGATTTAATTTTCTTTGCTGTGAGATCGGTCTGCGATCTCTTTCCTCCATTACTGCTGCAAATAAAGTCTAGCTCCAGCTGGGTTTCCTTGTCTGTTGTATTTTGATTTTTCTTAAGTTCTTTGATTTTTGGTATCTTTTCTTTCCTTCCCTTGTTCTGGTTGATTGAGTGTTTTCCTTTTTATGCTCTTGTTCGAGTCTTTATATTGCTTAGTTTATGCAGTCTTCTGTGTGTATCCCGTGAGTCGTGTCTTCCTTTTTGTGTCAGCCATGGTTTATGCTTTTGTCCTGACCTACTCTGGGGCACATTTCCATGAGCCTGTCGTTGCAAATTATCATCGTCACACACAGTCTTTTGCAAATCGTCCCATCAATCCCTCTACCATTGTTCACCTCCCTGATTTTGTGCCCCTAGGTTCAGATGTGATGCCTTTTGTTTATAATCTAGGCTGGGAATTTCTCCCGATGCCTGATTTCACCTCCTCTCTCATCTGCCCTGAGGCTGTTAGGGTTTTCTTCTCAAATCTGAGGTACTTTGGTCTCCAAACTCGCACTATCAGCTCCCTTGTTCATGGTCATATGACGACCCTTCCACTATCTGACATCAGTCGTCTCCTCAATATTCCTGCTTTTGGAGAAGCCCTAGCCCATCCTGATGAACTTCCTCTATTCAACTTTGATATCACTACTGAGGCTGTTCATCTCACTGGTCATGAACCAGATCAAGATCGTACCTTCTCCTCTGGTCTTCTGACCCCCTCGCTGCAAGCTTTTCACTACATTCTGACCAGAGTGTTCCTGCCTCGTTCCATATTTCTTGATCGTGTTATTCCCCTTGACCTATGGATTCTAGCTCATGCTGTGGCTGCTGTACCTTTGGACTTCTCTCGTTTGCTGTTTGGAGCCATTCTTCCCTTCATTGATCATAACTTCCATGCACCTCTTCCTTTTGGGGCTTTGATTACTCGATTGCTGCTCGCCCTGCCTCTAAATCTCTCAGCCTATCGCACTGAAACTCCTTCCCTCTGGCTTCATGCGAATGATGTTCTAGAAGAGATTGGGATTGCGATTGAGGGGGAGGGACCCTTCATACATTGGCTCAGCAGTGACTCAGAGGAAGATGAAGAGGTTGATGAGGTTGATGCTGAAACAGGAAATAAGACTCTTGGTTCTCTACCGTCTTTTGCATCTGCTCTTCAAGCTCTCTATGGTTCTGATTCTGAATCAGACTCTCCTGTTGCCTTTCAGCCTGATGTAGCATCGTTTAGTGATAGTTCTGATCCTTGATCCGTTTGAGAGTCTTGATTGGTGATTTGATTAGGGGAAGTCCTATGCTCATGTTCTGAGATGTTTTGAGGTCTTATGTGTCGGTTTGAATAATTGCTCAGTTTTGTCGAATTTCTTTCAGTCAATAAAGATTCTTGTTTTGGATCATTTCTCAGCTGTTGTTCAGTACTTTGTGGAAAGCCGCTTGTTATGTATGCAGGGAAAAGGCAATCGACAATCCTCCAACTTAGGGGGAGATTGTTGAAGTCAGAAGGCTAAATCAAGTTGGAGATTGTCTACTCTTACCGTTGCTCTTTTGCAGCTCAATCACAGGAACCTCAAAAGGAAACAGCAGGCTGTCATTAGGAACTTACCTTCTCTAACTCCAACGGCTAGTCTCTTGGAGAGATTATATATGCCTGAGTGACTGCTGCTGATTTGGGGACTTTTGCAGGAGCTATTGCGGTAAAGGGCTTAGCTCTGGGATTACAAAAGGGATTGGCGAAAGGTTGAGGCACAGGTTCAACTTTCGCCAAGGCAGAAACAGATCGGAGACTGATCTGGATTTCGTTTCCTTCTTCTTATTGCTACTTTGATTCTTGCTTTGTGGTTGTTTCTGTTTGTGATTTCATAGTTAATAAAAGGCCTCCCAGACCATATTCTGGGTCGTGGAAGTAGACCATTGCACTTGGGCGAACAAAGCAGGTTTACATCCCTAAAATTGTTTTACTCGGGCCCGTTCTATTCGGCCCACTTTATTAGAGTACAAAATCGAGAATCATTCTCCCTTCCATTGACTCTCGAATTGCTCTCTGAAATCGGGTGTTCTTCTTGAACCCTAATTCCCAAATCAATCTCAAACCCTCTCTTCAGAATCGACTCAAAGACAACTGAGTTTCCCAGATGCGCCGATGGGGAATGATCGGATCTCAAGCGAAGGGATGATTTCCGAAGTCGTTTCTGCTTTGCTGGGTTGGGTAGGTTTAGCGAAGTGATGGCGGAGAGAAGGGATGGCAAGGCAAAGCGAGGATGTCAAAGTGAAGCGGCGACTTCCAGCTCCTTTGTCAAACGTCACCGCGAGATCCTGTTGCCTCTTTTGAGTTTTTGTGTTCTTGCCGGTTTTTGGGTTTCAGCGAAACCAAAACCGTTATAATCCCGATTTGGGTTGCACAAAAAAAACCGAACCCAAAAAGCCAATTTTAGCAGTTCGATTTTGGTTTAACCCAAAAACTCGAAACCAAACATACACCCCTAGCGGCAGGGCGACCAGAAGTGGAGGATGAAAGTCAATAGGAGCTGGCCAAGAGACATGAGATGTTCGTGGTATCTGCAGTGGCGACTGCTCGGCCAGGCCACCAGAGCTCCACCTAAGGGGTTTGTCAGGCTTACGCCAGCTGAGATCGAGCTAAAGAGGCAAGAAGGAAAGTGCTTCAACTGCAACAAGAGATTCACATTTAGGCACCAGTGTGAGAAACCCGATTTGATGATGCTGGTGGGACGCTGTGAGGACGAGGCAGTCGAGGAAAGGGAGTTCACCCCCACGGACGCTGAAGGCCATCTTTAAGGGCAATGTTGTTCTTAAGGGGGCGGGGAAGATAGAAACAAGCATTTGCTATTTTATCGATTGGACTCATTTGTTGGTTGTTTATTGTTTATGATGCTATTTGGGATTTATTGAGGGTATTGTTTAGAAGGTAGAAGTTTGGGTAGTTATATGAGATTGTACAGTCATATATATACTATAAGTGGGCATTATTTCCACTAAGCAGAATCAAGACAATATAATACCTAAACCTAATCTATTCTCTCTTCCTTGTTCTTCTTCTTATTCTTCTTCTGTCGTCGAGCGACTTTCCCTCTTTTTCCTTCTTCCTCAGTCCTTTCCCCATTTCCCTACTCTTTCTATCCAGCTCGAAAATACTAGACCCTATATAAACTTTGTTTCTATCAAATAGAAAGGAAGTTGAGTTTTCTTATGGGAGAAAGCCATGAGTTAGGTTGAACTCAGAAGGAGTTATAGCCCCCTCAATTTAGTAATGTAGTTAAAATTACATGTAAAATTTGTAATAAATTTATAAATTAAGTAGTCCGTAAGGCGTTAGCCTACCTTCCCAATTACCATGGTTTAAATCATTTCCCATCCTCTTCCTTATACAGATTAAGAGATGACACTGGCGCGGAGCGAGTACCTCAATACCCATATCTGTCTCGCACTAAGCGCGAGTTAGGTTAGATAGTACCCACGTGACTAAGAGCGGGACGGATCGACCCATACTTATATGTTATTTAAAAAAGAATGTCGATATTTAACTCTTTTATGATAACACATAGACAAAACACTTCATAAAATGAATGAGAAATACGGTTGAAGGAATAGTTGAAAGATAGAGTCTTAAAATTTCAAGAGAAATACATGTCAAAGCAAAACACAATAGAACGGGCCGAGAACAGGGCGAGATGGGACAGAACAAGTCACAAGCAATACTCATGCCCTGCACTAGTTTAATTTTATGGATCAAACATGCATGAGAAAATTTCAAGAGAAATACATGTCAAGCAAAACATAATAGAACGGGCCGAGAACGGGGCGAGATGGAACAGAACAGGTCAGAAGCAATACTCATGTCCTGCGCTAGTTTAATTTTATGGATCAAACATGCATGAGAAAATCCAGTAACTCAAAGTCAAGAAAGTGGATCAAACAAAACTTTTCATAAAGCTTATAAGTAATCAAATCTTCAGGAATCAACTTGCTTTATTAGTTTCAAGACAGCTTCCCTTGTGTGCAGTGCAGGGATTGCACCTCTCTCTGTTACCGTCATGGCGCCACAGGTATTGGCGAAGTATAGAGATTCTTTTAGCCTCTTTTCATCCTGAAGATAGATACAACAAACTACACACTTCATTTCTGTACCATGGATATATTTAGCATTCGATTGATATCTTCAGTACTGTTACCTTGAGAATACTTGGGTCAGAAGCTAAGTTGTTAAGGAGGCCACCAACGAATGCATCACCTGCCACGGTTGAGCCAACAGGGCACCAACGAATAAAATCAGCTTATAGGAAGTAGGGCTCCCCATAAGAACCTAATTGTTTTCAGTAGGGTGCATACCTTAATAAAATCAGCTTGATCCCATATGCAGGAACGGACGCACGCATGTTTGGATGTCACGGGACACCTCTAAATTTTGGAAAACGATTATTTAACTCTCGGTGGTAAATTACGTATGAACAAAAAAAAAATTATAATTGATAGTCGGGGACATTCCTGAATTTGAAAAAAATGATTATCCTACTCTCATTTTCTAGTTTGGGTATGAGAATATAAGTGGTAGTTTGGGTAATTCAAACCTAGGGTACTATGATTATTAATAAACATAATTTCTATTAAACTACAAGCCTACAACTCATTTGTTGTTCGATATTAAACACTGTCTAATAGTAAGATGTCATTCACTATCTCTAATTGTTTTCTAAACCTAACAATTAAAAAAATTTCAAGCTACCCTTAATTTGTATTGATTTTATGGTTGTACGACAAGTATTGAAAGAGTCTTTTCAGCTTTGGATTACATAAAAAACAAGTTTAGGAATCGAATATGTGATCAGTTCGTGAATGATTGTCTAGTAGGATACACAAATACAATTTTTTGAGCAGTGTAGGCACCAAGTGTATTCTCCAATTATTTTCGAATATGAAAACACATAGTTGACTTTTTTTAAGTTGTATGAATCAAGTATTTTCTTATTTAAGAATTATTTAATTGTTATTAATTATTTAAGACTTATTTTATTTTATTTATTTTTTAAAAGAGGACACCCCTATGTAAAATTCCTGAGTCCGCCACTGCCCATATACATATAATTCCTTCCTTAGCAGATATGCACTTGGGTGTCATAAAAACAAGAACTCGCGCGTTCTCCATCAGATCTAAGAGTAACAAATGCCAGAGTTGTCCTTGTGTATGCATCAAACCGCACACCAGAGTTATCAACACTATATTGTTTCAAGATGTCATCGAACATATGCCCAAATTCATCATCACCCGGCTGGAATAAAATAAGAGTAATGTCTATTTTTTATCCAAACATTTTTTAGATTCTTTTATATTTATCCAAACCTATCGAAATACTAAGAATTAGCCAAATGTTAACATTCATTTAGCAATTTTGTTAGTAATATTGACTTGACAATATGATATTGATTTGAAAGAGACACATGAAGGCCAACATTCCAAAATTTTAGTATTTTAACTAAGAAAAGAGTTATAAAATTATTAACGATAACGTAAAAATGACTAATATTTTGATACATTACGAAAGATTTGGCTAATTAATAGCATTTTAATAGGTTTGGATAATGTAAAAGAATCCGAAAAAGATTTGGATAAAAAATAAACATTACCCTTTATTATTATTATGAAATAGTTGGGTGTCAATCCATAAAGTTCATAAATTTGGAAAAAAACCAACACCATTGTGCGGGATTTGGCTAATGGATTCAAAATCTTGATTTGATTTTTTTTTTTTTGTGTCCAAGGACAAATAATTGAAAAACAAATACATCAATATTTTTTATAAGGGTGATGTCAATTCAATTTATAGTTAGGTGCTTCTGAAACGAGTTAAACCTATAATCTTTAGGTTGAAGACCATTAGAGCAAATCCTTGTTCGCAACATTGTAAGGGTTATGTTTAACATTTACAAATCCAATAAAAACAAAATTCATTATCAAATATAACAGACAATGATAAAATTTTCAAATCTATAATGACCAAACCCATCACAACTTTAAGATTTTGATCAAAATTTTCATTTTCCAAATTCAGCAATAAGCAAATTAAGAGCTCAATGAGTGTTTTTATTCGGATTTAGGTGGGTTTGGAACCACCCACTACGTGGTCGGTGAAGGAGAAATGATCCACACCCACCCAAGTATTACATGTGGGTGGGTTGGGTGATTGTCGATGATGGATTTTTGGGCGGATTCGGTGAGTTTACAAAATATATTCCATATGATCATATAATTTCAATAGTTTTAAACTTAAAATGAAATAAAATTTCAAACTAAACAATGTTTAATCTATAAATTAGGTGAATCATTTATTTTATAATATTGATATTGGCAATTATCCACAAATTACAAAAATATCAACTAATAAACATGGTTTACGCGTGATAATAACCAAGATTCAAGAAGGCACTTGTCATAAGGCAAATGTTTTGGTCTTGGCTAGTACCTCATTCTCCTAGGCGTTGTTAGCGTAAATTGCTTTTTAAGCTATAGTCGCAAATTCAAATCCAAATTGATGGAAGGAGAGAAGGACGAATCTGTGGTATTTTAGATGGTGTCATTTTAGGGAAGACAACTGTCTTTTTCCTGCCATTTGTCGACTAGTTATGCTTAAGCATACCTCCAATTGCCTAAGAACATCTCACAACACAATCCTTTGGTCGAAATTGAGAGGAGTTTTTATGATTTTAAGGGTTTCATTTTCGGTAAAGCTATATGTTAGAGCTTTGATGGTTTGAAGTTAAAAAGTTGGGTGGGACGTGGGTCAACCACAGTCCAACCGCACCACCCAATCTTTTGTGAGTCACGTATTTTGCAACCCACACCCACCCATAGGAACCACTCACATAATAATGGATGGGTCGATTGTGGATGGCTTTTGGTGGATTTGTGGGTTCAACCACCCAATGCTCGAGCAAACCACCCCTTGATTCAAACTACTGATAAAAGTGCCACAAGTCCTTTATTTTATTATCACTTCGTGGTATGACAATTTGACAAGCATAACTAGGGCTGCGAAAATAGACCAGACCGTTAGAAAAACCGTGGTCCAAACCGTACCGCACAGTTTGGTCCGGACCGTAGACCGTTAAGTATGGTCTGGTCTGGTCCATGGTCTGTACTATTTTATCTTTTGATCTCTTGGTCTGGTATGGTCTAGACCGCGGTTTACCGGACCAAACCGTGGACCCAACTGACTTGTAAATATGTGTTAACAGCCCATTCGACCACTCTCCCAACACCCACAACGACACTCAAGTCTCAACCTTAGTTTTGTGAATCTCGTCCCTCCTTAATCACAACCACATTTAACTAGAGAGTAGAGATAATCGTGTCTCCATATGACATTATGTTAATGTTTATGACGTTATGGTGCAAGTTGGGATGCTTTTACTTTGTATCTTTGGTATGTACTAAGATTTAGAGTATCAAAATTATTGATGCATGTTAGGATTAATGATTTAAGGCAAATACCAATTATTTTTCCTGGTTATTGGTTCAATTTTTTGTGTGGTTGACTAAACAAATTATTCATTTTTCGTTGAGTGTGGTCTATCTGGATCAGACCAGACCGAACCAGACCGCACAGGCGTGGTCTGGACCGAACCGTATAGTCTATGGTCTGGTCTGTGGTCTATACTTTAGTCTCTCGGTCTGGACCATAGACCTTATAGATGGTCTGGTCTGGACCAGACCGCACGCTAAGCATAACAAGGGATCTCAGATGGATTGAATTTGAACCACAAGTGTCTACAACAGCCAGCCCACAGAAACAATCCCACCAACATAAAGCCTAATGCCATTTGCTTTACTTTACAACATGCGCTGGACTAGATCCCTTCTCATGGGTAATTAAATAATCAACTTGGAATTACTAAACAGCAAAACACATATCAAAACTTCAATTGTCTCCTTCACATTCCTCTCCTTTTCCCACTTCTTTTCCCCATCAAATGTTCCTTTTCTGTAAGCTGAAAAAAAGCTAAAGCACAGAATTTGGCAAGCTGGAGATGAGAACAATGCAGCGACCCAAATGGTGAAAGGCCTCCCCTGCCTCAAACCAGACGTAGACGGCAGCTCAACAGAAAGAAAAGTTGAATAGACAAATGGGTCTTTCAGCCTTAGAGATGCTGTAGCTTTCTTCGTTCAAAGTTGGCACAATGGAAGATGGGGAGAAGCCCAAATCGGAAAAGAGAACAACACACCATTGATGAAACAGGACAGGAAGCCCTTCTGTCCGAATCAAACACCCGTATTATTAAATTTTCCTTGTTTTATGCAAGTGATCACGTTCTGGTATACTATTATTACAAGGAAAAGTAAAAGAAAGCACAAAAAAGTTAAAAAAACTTAGCACGGGCCAACTGGCCGTTTTCATTTTACAGACCAATAGCCTTCTATTCATGCCAAGAAATCCCCTGCATCTGGATTCGACGAATGCTTTTCCATAACGAGCATTTTCTGCTTCGGACATACCGGGTGAGAGAAGACGAAGCAACAAACCCTGCAATCACTTTCACGAGGACGCCACAACAACTTGCTTCATGAGCTGGGCTACAGCTTCCTTGGACGGAAGCGCAGGGATCGCGCCTTTCTCTGTTACAGTCACAGCGCCACATGCATTGGCGAAGTATAGAGCCTCTTTCAACCTCTTCTCGTCCTGTACGACACCACACAAACATGGAAGATGGATGAACAAGAGTCTGATAAACCATACTGTTACAAGTAAAGCAAATATACAAATATATACCTTGAGAATACTGGGATCAGATGCTAGGCTGCTGAGGAAGCCACCAACGAACGCATCACCGGCACCAGTCGTGTCGACAGCTTTAACCTTGATCCCAGAAACTCTCCCCTTGAACTCCTGCAGTGGTGCATAACTGTTCAGTCTACGAATCTCTCAGGCAAAGAAACAAAAAAAAAAAAAAAATGTGATGTAAATTTACCTTGGTGTAATATCTACATCCCGCTGACCCTTCAGTTACAACCAGTAGCTTCAGGTTGGGATGAAAGAGTTTCTTCAGGACGACGTTATCGTCATTTGGATCATCGCCACCGGTTAAGAATACAATTTCATCCTCATTTATCTGAATTATTTAAAAAAAAAAATACCAAAATGGTTTGAGACCGTTAGCAAGACTTTCTATTTGCATCAAGTTAATTTATGGCTTTTGAGGTGATACAACCTTAATAATATCAGCTTCATTCCATATGCTCATCATTCCTTCTTTAGCAGCCTCGGCGGAGGGCCATAACGCCAGTCTCAAATTCGGATCGTAAGAGAGGATTGCACCGGAAGATTTGGCAATTCTCATTGCTGCAACATGTGCTGATCTGCATGGTTCCGAGATCAAACTAATCGAACCGTAATGGAATACCTTGGCCTGATTGAGGATATCGGTCTCGAGTTCTGATTCAGTGAGCAGCATGTCTGCACTTGGATGCCGGTAAAACATGAACTCCCGTTCACCATCAGCTCTCAGTGTAACAAATGCCAGTGCAGTTCTAGCATCCGGATCGAATCGTATGCCCGAGTTGTCGACATTGTTTTGTTTCAGAATGTCGTTCAACATTCGGCCGAATTCATCATCACCTAACTGAAAACAGATGAATAATTTTGGAATATTCATTCCCCAATATCAATACGATGAGATGAGAAGGATAGCTAAGTGAGAAACTATACCTTGCCTATAAAAGCTGATGAACCACCTAGTCTTGATACACCAACAGCAACATTGGCAGGAGCACCGCCAGGTGCGTTCTTAAAAGCAGGAGCTTCAGCAAGCGACACCCCGCTCACTGTTGGCACGAAATCGATCAGCATTTCGCCAAAGCAGACAACAAGCGACTTCGGCTCTCCTCCATTCTGATTCGAGGCAGCAGCAGGGTCCTTTGCTTCAGCTAAAAGAATCAAAATTTGCTTGACATCAGAACAATGTTCACTCAACAAAGCAACTTGACTGAATCAAACATTCGTGGCTCGCCAAAATTTACTCAAAGGTGCAATCGCTTTTACTTCCACCAAACGTCACTTTACTAATTGGGCATATGTCATTGGGGAGACTGAGTGAGTCCCCAGCAAAGGCTCCATCTTCAAGGCTATTCAAGACTCTGATTGGAGCAACTGGTGATCTAGAAGAGAATGGGTTGCAAGAAAAAGAGGATCGGAATAGAAAACCAGTACTTGAGGCGCAGAGATATAAAATAGCTAGAGAACAAAAAGCTATACTCAAATGGGAAATTTTCCAGGCCTTATAAATTCATGTAATCATTGAGCGAACACCATGCAGTCAATATGGGAAATTTTCTCCAGCGTCTCCTCTGTAAAATCCCAGGTTCATTCATTGAAACGCAGCTGAGCAGAGCTCTAAGAATATAGGGCCCATTTCCAGGAAACAAGATCCGAAACACGGTAAAAAAAAAAGCAGAGCAAGTTCTTGAAAAGGAGAAAAAGCTTGGAAATAGCGAACCCAGTTGAGACCCAGATAGGGCAACGAATGGAACCAACAATAGACGCCATGAACAGATCAAAAAGAGAAGAAGGGAGGCAGACCTGGGAAGTGGGTCGGGGCCATTCCTTCAGGCGGCGGGGGAGGAGTGAAGTGGAAGGAAAGGAAATTAGCTCTCCTCTGCTTCCAACTCCGCTGGCTCGCGCACCTCCAAAGACCGCAAACGCGAAGAATTAATAAGAGTGGAAAGGCAAGCGAGGGAGGGAGGCGGATTTTATTAGAGTGGGTGGGAGTGGTTGAGTCAAAAAAAGTTACAAAATTTCTGACTTACTCCCATCTCCTTGAAGCATCATTCGAGGTTGCTAACACCATTACACCACCGTTTCAATTTTGCTTTAAAAAGAACAAAATAAAAAGAGCCTTTTTTATATGGGTTTCACAGTTCCAGAAATTACAAAATAAAATATTTTATGAGATTCAGTTCATTTGTGGTTTTTTTAATCTTAGTTAAGTGGAGTTGGAGGGAACAAGCTGTGAGAATTTATGGGCAGATTCAGCACATAGAGCGGCAGCTGGTCTCACACAAGCAAAAGGGCGTTTTCCATTCTTCTGGACATGTTGACGGGAACAGTGGTGGGGGCAGGATTTGAAACTACCCATGTCCTCTTTTTGTATTATAAATATATAGATATTTAATGAATATAATTAAATTAATAATATCTAAATAATTTATTTTTATATAAAAAATAACTACTATTAAAATCGGTATTTTCATAAACAACCATGACGAATTTTCATATTCGAATAAAAACACACAATACATTCTTTGTCTACACACTTAAGTAAGTCTTTTTCAATGGATCTCACTAAACAACCATTAGCAAACTGGTCGTGAGTTCGACTTCAAAGTTTGTTCTTCAGATAGCTCAAAGCTGAAAATATTTTATCGACACTTGCCGTCAAAACTAGTGGAATCGGCGGTGCCACTGGACTGCTTCAAGATTGCTTGCAAATAATCGAATAGAAATATAAAGAAAAGAGATCTATTCCAATTGAGACTTCGTTTATTGTATAATAATTAATTCATTGTCAATTTATGATAAATAATGAGTTGTGATATAGTAACGAAGTACAATGGTGTTGTGTTCCATCCTTCATATAAACATATATAAAGTATTTTTGTTCCTCCCAAAATTTACCCATGTCCCAGGACAATGCCCTATTGCCTCCGCCACGGGAAGAATCGAGCGTTCTTTTCCCTTTCAGAAGGTTGTTTTGGGGCCAATTACCATTTGATCAGAAACGGATGGCTGCACGCAGCAAACTTACCTGTGGTTATTTAATTGATTCGTTCCTTGGCCTTTGACACCGAAGAAAAGCAAAGGACTAACCAGCAGCAGCAACTCATAGCAAAGAACAGTAGAATAAAAGACCCATGGGATTAAAGATAAGCAAAACTAAACCACGACACCCATAAAACCAGAGTCTTAACGACTTGTTAAACAAAATAAATCAGGCGGATATGACAATTCGAATATTTTTTTTTACAAAAGATAATTTTATATTAATTAGAAAGATATCGAAGATATTACATTTTGGTATACAAACAGGAAAGGAAATAAAAAAAAAAGCGACATGTAGCTGGATACAAAGAAATGACATTTCTAGCCACTAAGTGGGCTACCCGATTGTTATTCCAACCTACAAATCGTACATTAAGACCATGAAAATTTCGCAGCAGACCACGGACTTCCGTAAGAATGGCTTCAAAACGATTATCTTGAGCACCAGTCAGATTTACCTTATCAATGACCACATTTGCGTCTCCTTCAAACCGTACTTGAGAGAGACCACAATCCATACACCACTGGATGGCCTCGCGGAGCACTTAAAGTTCAACTGTAAGCGGGTCATCGATATCCACAATATGAATACCTAGAGCCAAGATAATCGAACCACTATCATCCTTGATAATTATTTCCCCTGTTGAATGTGAACCTGTCCTTCTGGTAATTCGAATAATTAGATTTGAGTATCATTTATATTTTATCTATTAGTTCCAATTATCTTAGGATGTTTTGGCTATAACTATTAACTAGCAACAAATTAGATGCAAGTTAGTATTGTTAGTGTGTGTGAATTGATGTTTCGCTTCAACCTTAAGGTCAAGGTTGATTTCAAGAGGGCTGGATTGTTGAGGGTATAATTAGGGGTTTAAGGGTAGTTTAGTATTTTATTAGGTATAGTCGGTTGGGATTTTGGGTCATAATATATATAATGTACTTTAGTTCTATCGTTAGGAATATCAGTTAAAAACCAATCAAAGTATCGTCAAAATTATCCATCTTTCTCTAGTCACTTTCAAGAACCCTAATCCCCAATTTTAAATCACCAAATTCTGGTCAATTCTTCTCTCAACCAATCTAAATCTCTTTCTAAATTCTATCTTGTTACATTAGTATGGGTGCCCAAGATTCGTACCTACAACAAAATATGGGGTCAAATACACCGAGTACCACTAAAGTATGACGATTGGGGGAGCTATACCACTTATAGGGCTGTTAATCGATGGCCGGTTATCTGGTTAACCTCGTAACCGAACCGAGACCGTCGGTTTTTCAGTCGACCGAAAATCGCAACGTCGGTGTCGGTTGGCAGTCACCGGCAAATTAGAGAGGGTTGCGGTTATCGGTGAAAACCAAAACCGTGGCGGTTAAACCGCGACAACCGCATGCCCTACCATCCCAGACTCTCCGGAGTCCCTGCTGCAGTCGTCGGCCCATCGTCACTCGCCACCGCCCTTCTCGGCTTCCCCACTGCCGCCTTCATCCTCCTTCTCGCAGTCCCAGCCTCCCAGTAATCTTCAACATCGCCATTCCCCCAGCGCTAGTCATCTCGCCATCGTCGCCCCGTAGTCCCGCCATCGCCCGACAGTCCGATGTCGCCCGAAAGTTCCGTTGTCGCCCAAAAATGCCGACGTCGCTCAGCAGTTCCAACTTCGCCCAGCAAGGCCGATGTCACCCAACCATCCCGACACCGCCCAGCAAGGCCGACGTCGCCAGCAGATCCAAAAATCAGGCCAGATTCGCCCTCTGCGTCGGTCTTTTGCTAAGCGCGACACCGACCTGAAACCGTCGACAGCGGTTTCGGCTAACCGATAAGGCCGTCGGTGTCGGTTGGCATTTTTGGACGTTAGTCGGCTGCGGTTAACCGCGTTTGCGGTGCGGTTAAAACCGAAACCGCACCGCTAACAGCCCTAACCTCTTAAGTACGAATAGGGCGTCGGTTACCACTAATGTCATTGAATTGTACATTTGTTTGTTATTCTGTCTGCCTACCGTTAACAATGAATTAAATATTATTTTTTTATTTAAAAAATTTAATAATAATGTGAAAAACGAAAAATTAAAAAAATCCTTCGGCCTCCATGATCCGTCTCCAAACCCTCACTGCTGCCCGCCGGGCACTGGCCCTGCAACTTCTTCACGATCCTTTTAGGTTGGTCAAGATCGCTGGGGAGTGCGATAAGAACCAAGAAGGTAATAATAGGCAGAGGAAAAAATCCTCCCCTGCTCCGGGTACAGACAATTGTAGTGATGTTTGGTTGCTGGAATGTTGTTGGGTCTTGAGATTCTAAGGCTTTCTACATGATGAATCCCGTCAACAATGACGCCAATGAGCTCAACATATATCTTCTTAGAGTCTAGTAAGTTAGGGGTCAAGTGTGTGGGGAGAAGAAGTGGATACTTTGGAGGATATTGTTTGTCTCTTAGACTTTGTGACGGTTTAGGATTTCTTTCTGTTTTTGTGGGTTAGCTTTAGGAGGTGGCGGGGGTGGGAGAAAAGGAAACAATAAATCTCCAGCAAGGCTCGCAAGGAATTGGGCAGTGCATGCGCTCGATACAACTGGCTGAGGAGCGGGTGGTGGCTTTTGTCATCTGGAGACAATGGTTAAATCTTTGGCCTTTTCAATCCTCTGATTTGCAGGCCTTCCAGCTTCGTCCGGCTCCCTGTGCTCTATCATTCGGTTACGCAACCAGCATTGAGAGCTAGCGAGAGTTGTCTTTCACGGAGAGTGAAGTTTTGGAGTCTGGTCATTGGATCGTGAAGAAGTTGTAGGGCCAGCGCCCATAGGGCGGCGATGAAGGTTTGGAGATGGAGCCTGGAGGCCGAAGGAGTTTTTAATTTTTCGTTTTTCACATTATTATCATATTAAGGGCGACGAATAGCGATTCAGTAACTTAATAAGGGCGACGAATAGCAATCCCCAATAATAATGGCTAAATTACACGTTTGGTCACTCAAATTACATAAATTTTTCATGTTTGCCATCCGTATTACTTTTCTTTCGTATGCACCACTAACTTTACGAATTGTTTAACCGTTAGTCAGTTGCCGTTAGTCTCCGTCATATTCTATTAACTCTGTCAGTTTTTATGATGTAGCAAACGAAATTGCTGACTAGACTGTTAAATTAATAACATGTCAATTTTAGAGCATTAAAAAATAATTAATTTTGGTCCACTCCGCTTCCTCTAACTCCACCCAAACCGCACCTAACTCCGCCAACGCCGTCCTCCTTCCTGAACCGGCCCAGCGGAAGAGCTCCTAGCATCAGAGACTCCAACCCCACGGATTTCCACCGGCGACGTCGGTCCGTCGGAGTTCCCTGCTCGAACTGCTGTCTCCGACCAACAACCCGAAAGCGTCCGAATAAATGGCAGCGCAAAAACTCCACCCATATCCGAACCCAGCACCAGATGAAGCAAAATTCACCATGGAAGCGAAGCAAGTCTAGGAACCCAACAAACTCTGCTACTGGCTGCTGCGATTGAGCAGGTGGGGTCTTGCTATAACCATCGCAACCCTCAATTGAAATAGAGGATCTTGAAAGTCTGGAGCTTCGGGGGATTCCTCCATTGCATATGCAATCACCTGCATGTTCCAATCACTGACGTAGAGCACAACCGGGTCGTGCGCCCCGGTCACAACCCGACCCATCACAATTTGGGTGACACAATGGTTAACCCCAACAATTGGTTTCTTCCAGAGCAGCGAGAGAACCCGAACTACCACGGTGGACACCTCCAACGACGTGTCCATCTGATCTGAGGGCCCTTTGTATAGCAGAGACAATCAATGTAGTCGCGAGACACTTGCGCGGCGGCCTCCAAGGCGGATTGGACAAAGGGGAATCACGTGCTGGAGGTGGTGATGAGCGATTTCTCGGGAGAGAAAGCCATGCCTAGAAGGAGTGATGTTGGTTAATTAATTTTTTGTTTTTTATTTTTTTAAATTGACATGTAATTAATTTGACAATCAAGTCAGCAGTCCTGTTTGCCACGTCATCACAAAACTGATGGAGTTAACGGAATTTGACAAAGACTAAAGACGGG